CACGTTCCAACGTCTTCGTCTTCCTATCGAGTCGCATCTTCTTCAGTGGAGCATCCCTCGATTGAGACAATCTCACCTGGCGACGCTCCTTTATACAGAACTCTTGATGACAATAGTGATTTTCTAGTGATAACAACTTGTTTTTCCAGACAATCACTGCTATAGACAACCCGCGTTCCGTACAAAAGAGCACTGCCGGATGAGACTCGATAGATGCTCCACAGAAGACTCGATTCTATACGACGATGAAGACACCACATCGAGAAGGCGAACAACTGTGGACCATCGATTCAATCGATCATCAGCTTTGGTGAAGACAAAGACGTCAAAACGTTAGCCAAATAAAGACTGTTTATCAACTTCGTGTAAGCTTATCAAAGAAAGAATGAACGTTGGTTAGTCATATTGAGGTTAAAGGATAACGACAGAAAAAGAACAAAAGTTTATCTGAAGACATAGCACGGGATAAAACCGACAAGACTTCAGCAACAAAAAACAATAGAGTTGTCATAAAATAAGATGGAAACAAGGCTACTCGTTTGTCTAAATGAAATAACTACGAGATTTCGAAACGAACGCACCTTTCGCCCTAACTGTTCACATTTTGTACGATTGTTAACTGGATGAAACGACTGCGTTGGTAGCGCATCATTCAACTCGAGTATTACAGAATCATCCGCCTGAACGGAAAAAGCGATTAACTCGACGACGAATGAGTAGAAGTCAATGACTTTCAACTAAAACTTCCTTAACACCTCGTTTATTGAAGAGCTACACTCCTTCAACAACATATTCATTCTCTGCCCATCTTTGTTTCGAAATTATGAAGTCTCTTATAGAAATAAGCTAATAACGAATAAACATTCAAGTCAAGTCTTTCGTGCAAAGCGAAAAAAAAGAATATTAAAGTAAAAGAAAAGACAGGCTACTAAGACATCATCGCTTACTTTCCTCATTGCTCCAAGTCTACTCATGAAAGCAACCAAATCTGTGCAGTCCACTTCTGTTGTTCCGGACATGCAAACTGTCAACGATTAAACTTGCGTTTCACAACACTGAAATTCGGAAAAGGAATGAATATGACAACTTTTCATTTACTACCTATTACAATTTTTCACAGCAGGGTATTATGTGTGATACAACCACAACGACGCTGAGATATTTGCAAGACTCTGGACCCACAGGTGTCTGCAGTGGGGATCGGACCTGCTATTACTCTCTCCGGGGGCTGTGTTTGCCACCACACCGTGCAGGCCCTTCGTTTCGCCTTTCTTTCAGCTAAAAAAGAAAAAGTATTCGAATTAACAAAGCCAAATGCCTGCTAATTTCTAAATATAACGTAGACAAGCAAATGCACTATATTGGAAAAATTCCCATCTTCATGACATTTCAGCGCACACAAGATGGTCGCAGGCTGAGGCTATTATGACCTATCTGATATCAGTTTCAGATTTCGAGTCACTTCATTTCATATTGGAAATTAGATAGTTGATTAAACGCATAACGAAAACGACCAGAAATTCTGCTGGATGCATGGGATGGACCTCCTTCGATGACAAGAACGGGCGGATACGCTAGAATCCATTCAAAAGCAAGTCATACAAACTTAGAAAACAAACCAGGACGACAAGAAATTGATAGACAAGAAGCGATTACCGGCTGTCTATGACAATGGAGAAGTGTTAACTAAATAGAGTATAAAGCTTCAATGATGCTGAGATTTGCAAAACTCCGGACCACAGGTGTATGCGGTGGGGAACGAACGCGTTATTGTCCTTTCCGAGGAGTAACGCGTTCACCACCACACCATGCGGGTCCGTCGTTTCTTCTGTCTCTCAGCTAGTTCTATCGATCTTTTTGCCACAGCAGTCACCCGCCAGCAGGATTGATCTGGGCGGCCCAAATCGGCAACGAACCCAGTTAAGCTGGGAAACAGGCGAAACGAAGGACTCGCATGGTGTGGTGGTGGACGAGTTACTCCCCGTAAAGGATAATAGCGCGTTTGTTCCCCACCGCGTACACCTGCGGTCCAGAGTTTTGGAAATATCTCAGCATCATTGTATATTTTGCAATATACGCTGCCATTAAAAAAGAGTAAGCAGTAAATAATAAGTTAAAATTGAGAGCATAAAGCTTTTGGCGTTGATCAATCCCTGAAGGACGCGCCATTTACTCGGCTTCATCGAGCACTGTTAGAGGTGATTGAATGCACATTTGGACTAAACAATGATTTGCGGTAGCCTACGGAAGTACCGAGCCAGTGCTGCTATCCTCCCAGAAAAGTCTAATACCAATTTGCCGAATCCAGAGAGATGGAATGCTTAGTGAGCTTGAGGAGCGAGAACAAACCAATGATCACGTGTTTTGCCGCGCACCTCTAAGCACTGCGCTATATTTTAGCCAAATGATAATCGGAATTATCGATAACTTATGTCTGTGTCTCTTTATCGATTAGGACACCAAGTGGAATTATTACACAAAAATACAGACTGACAATAACTTACAAGGACTGTGGCCTACGTCTGCCCCACATCAACCTGAAAGAAATTGAGTTGAGGAAGTTTGCACCTTATTTGTGATAGTGCCCCCTAAATGAGGCATATTTGCGAGACTGCACTTTTCGCCACATACGGAATGCGTTGAATTCAATGCATGTGGTCCATCATGCCCTCAACAATGAGCACGACCCCTCTCTTGCCCTGTATAGTTCACTTTTTTCTTGTAGACCTTTCTTTTTGGGTTTTTTTATTGTTTACGTACGTATATGCTCTATATCTTTCTATATGTCCTTCCATGTCTTTGCAACTTCCATATGACATAGGAAAGATCTCGCCCATCATCCAATCACGATACTATCATCGTTTCCTATTCGGTTTTGCAAAACATGTTGAATATACTTGGATATATTTACTTAACTTGTATTCCTGTAGGGCGTAGGTGGCGCAGTGGTCGGAGGCGCCCTGCAACACACGTGTTATCGATCCCCTCTCCCATGGTCCACCAAATCTTCCATCCCTCCGGGGTTGGTAAGTTGGTACCAGACTTGTCTGGCAGCATAGCAGCACTGGCTCGATACATCGGTAGGCCACTGCGAGTCATTGTAGAGGTCAAATATGCCTTCAATCACCTCCAAACGATGCTTAATGAAGTCGAATGCATGGCGCATCTCTCAGGGATTGATCAACGCCGAGAGCGAGTGGACCTGTCATATCCATAAACACTCACTGTGTACAAGTACATTGATGAAGACTCACTCTGTATGGCTGCGTCAGACCACTTTATCCTCTTTTCGTCAGCCTCTGCGGTAAGTGACGTCTCACTACGTTCCTCTTTGGAAAAATCCCGTATTTCCCCAACCAAATTTATGTAACAACAACGTCACCGCAAAATAAACCGCCACATAAGAATACAGCAGAAACAAGCCACACCTACTATGCACCACACATATGTGTTGACTTCCACGTCGATAGTCTCAAAATAAATGTGGACCTGTTCAACAGAGAAAATCATCCTTATAAATTCCATAGAAATCAACTACATTAAGACTTGAACGTTAAGGAAAGAGACTGGTACAACCACACTTTCTTCAGAACGATGGATCGTATCGCTGTTAAGAGACTCACTGAAGTAATAACAGAGGACGCAGGACGTGGCTACGTTTCATCCCCATAATGGGCATGGAATATTTGCGAAATTCAATCTTTCCTCAATAAATGACGATCCGTCATCAGCCATAGAGCGGAGTCAGGGGTATGACATCTACGAAGTTTCTCTCTCTCCAGAAAGACCGAAAAAAAACAAGAATTTAAGTGCAGAGACGTGACGATGAAAGTTTATCGTCGTTAGCTAAATTATCGCTTCACTAACAGCTTTGTGCCCAAAGAACCAAGTATTAGCTAGGGGGCATAGTCGACAATGTCCAAGCCACTAACGAAAACCCGTCCATCAGATGAATTTGAAGAAGCCATTGTCTGTGAAAAAAGAATTGCTCCAAATGGTCCTTTCACACACAGCGAAACAGATAACTTCGAATGGAATGTCCGTGATAAAAGATAGATCTGGAGCTGAGCAGGAAAAATGTGCAGCATACACAATAACAGCATCAACAATGTATTGAAGAAGATGACGAGAATGCTACTCCTCGCCCATCGTTTAGACTCTGCAATTCTCCCTACCTTAACAATCCTGGATAGTGATTAGAATGTAAGGTTGGCATTCCTGGGGCAGTACCATGAAGATAATATAAACATACCCTGTTTCAGGCAGATGAGAAAAGATATCCGAAGTTCTTATTCGCGCTTGGAGGATGACATGTACACACTCAAAAGTTGTTGAAAACCGTCAACAGTGTATTTCGTTTGTCTGGTAAATAACAACTGAATAGGACCAGTAAGCGAACCGGTTAGCCCTATCAGAAATACACTCTTTTTAAGACCTGTATGAAAATATGGTCTCTCTTGACTGTATAAAACCCATTTCGCAATTCTCATCGCAGACGCGAGGAGGACCAATCTAGACTTTAGTGGGACCAATTCGAAACACTAGATGGACTACAAGTTACGATAGTAAAACAAATATTGGTTATCTAACCTTGTAGTCTGCTGTGAAACTTGGAGTAGAATTTTCATTCTGTAGTAATACGAAGTGACAAAGTGAAAAGATGAAAAGTTGGAATATTCAGAGTCAAATTACACTCCAAAAAGGTAGAAATCCTGAATAATGAGCGCAACGAAGAAGTATTGTCCCAAACAATGTTAGTATATGAAACAAGCAAAAAGAAGAAATACAGCAATATTGATTTTTTCAGAGATATACTTAGTTCTTCAATGGAAAGTATCGAGTGGAAATGAAAAGTTGGGATAATTAGGCTTAAATAATACTCCAAAGAGGTAAAAATGTCAAATAATGAGCGCAACGAAAAATTGTGCTGAAACAATGTGAGTAAGTGAAACAAACAAAAAAAAAGAAATCGATCAACATTGATTTTCTTGGACTTATGGTTAGCTCTTCACTGGAAGATATCGAATTCTCTCACCAGTCCTTATTATGACTTCCTTCTTAGCAAGCTCGTTCAAGGCTTCGTCAAAGATGTCACGATTCAGCATCTTAACCGTTCCACTGTATTAAAATATTAGCAATAGTTATTAAGTGTTATACCTTGTCCGTTTGTCTCAAGGTCATGAAGAGATTTTTTGCCGAGATATTCACACCCCTGGTACTGTCCAGATGTCCGGCAATGGCATCAGCAACCTGTAGACAGCTCGCTCAAAAAATTATAAGACAAATGTGACCGACTACCAACATTACCGAAAACTAACCTGTTGCACCATCTTCCTGCTAGTGGCACTCATACCAGCTGCCAATATGTTCACATCCACTTTACCAGTTACCGGATCCACTGCCGATTGTTTCAGTGCTTCACGATAAAGACTAAACAGAAATAATACACTGTTTATAATATTGCCAAAAGAGTAGGGGCAGCACCGTGATCATGACGCCGTTCATCAAAAGCGTAGCGTTGGCTCGACCCCGCTGCATGCACAACCTCCCGTCCGTGCGGGGTCGGGAAGTTGGTACTAGGGTTGCCTGGAGTCGCTTGACTCCCTCCAATCTACGTGGAGCTCTTTAGCACGACTCTCCCACGGGTCCAGAGAAGGTCGACTCGAAGAGCACTCAACGATATTCATGGAAAAGAACGAAGAAATTCCTCGCTGAGCAGCTGAACCCACACGCAAAACTTTGAAAAACTCAATGAACCCAATACCCTACTCCGCCAGTTAGTTCGAAACCGTCTCTATGATCGTTTGTGCCGCTCAGAAAACTGTATGATCTGTCCTAACGGGAGAGAAGGAAATTGCATGAGTTTAGGTATAATATACTTGATCTCATATAATGAGTGCGGCGAGGAATATATTGGGGAAACGGGTAGACCACTTTGTGTCCGCATAAAAAAACATCTAGATGGGAAAGCTAAAATCCGTTTAAACACTCCTCTAGGTACGCATAAGACACAAAAGCAAAACGGCGATGTATTTAAGTGAATGTGTGGATCCCAGCGCAGGTATCAAAAACATCAACGCGAAAATTCTTGAGGCGTTTTGGATTAATTTCAAAAATCCAAAGATAAACCGGAAGGACGAATGCCTCACATCACACGTGACCTGGAGCCCTATTTCAAAATGATATTTTGACCCCAGGGGGTGTCTTGCTCGCGACCCCACGTGAACTACGTGTGGGCCAGCCCCGCACGTAACATCACGATGAGTCGCCTTTCTGTTCAATATGGAGTCTATTTGAAAGTTTGATCTTCATAAACACTTTAACCTTTCTTTTACAAAGAATAATAAAAATACTCTTATATTAAATACGTCGAGGCTCTGAGGAAGGCGAAGTAGCCGAAACGTCAGCCATCCAGCAATAACATCAAAAACAACGACAACGACAACGAAGACCTGTACCAACCTCGCGTCAGTTTAAGATCAGTTTATGAGATCACATAAATAAATATATCAACTATCTATGCCGAGGTTTGCAGAAAGTCGGTCTTTCGAGTTATTAAAAAAAAACTCAATGGTTGGTGGATACGAGGGAACGCGTCGAATGTAAGAATAGTTGCGTTCTTGACAGTAGATATGAGGACGGGTCACGCAAAAAATTCTTTAAAAATCCGGGAAGTAAAATACCCTACTTGTAAGCGTTTTCCACATCATCTATGTGTACAGTTTCTGAAAGACGAATCTTGGCATGTGCTTCGGATAGACGGATTAGTGATTCCAACTGACGAGGATACGCCGAAATCTGGCCATGCTGAGCACCAGCCTGAAAAAAAAGAATACAGTTATGAACTTTCTACGTGAAGGAAAAAAAACGAACCTTCCTCATAAAAAGATACTTGTCGATTATAAATTGTGCTGAATCATCCGTTAACTTCGGATGAATATTAGCCTTAGCGTATGCTGAAAATGATCAGATGTAGAACATATAACTTCATTAACTACATTTTAATTGGATCTTAATACACAACTACCGATGTAGTCTCTCAGCAATGCCATGTCAAGTTGTTCTGCCTTATCTTCAGCACTATCCTTGTAGTAAAGAGACACTAAATGATTCGCTAAGCGTCTGTCGTAACCTTCGTCCTGTGGGTCAACCAATAGAAAGATTAGATCAAACCTAAATGAAGACCATGAATTCGTCAATCATGAACAATTCTCAGTCACGTTTTATTAATGGTCAAGCCACTTAAAACTCATTCAAAAAATCTAGCAAACCATATTAGAGACATCGAAATTTTGAGGAGTCTCGCAAGGTTAGTAGATTAGTATTTCTAGTTAAATTACATGCAACAAATCAACCTAACAGCACAATTCAATTGGTGGTAACTTAAGTTGATGAGTAAAAATGCAAGTGTCAAAAAGAAGAACCGATTATCATTAGACGATCTATTTCATAAATTTAATATGCTCTACTTCCCCAATTGCTTCTCACTTCACCGTAGCCAGTAGTGTTGGTGGTCGAACTGTTACATAGACCAATAGACCCCACTGATTTAACTTAAGTTCCCGCATTTCCATCTAGAAACCCATGTATTGGCAAACCCATGTCGGGCATCCTTCCTTCCACAGAACGGAAAGGATTGAAGAAATCAGCTAATACTTGAACCGCCCACATTCTGCGCAACGGATGGGCACTGTCTGTGGTGATGGTGGAAAATTCGCTACCTAGTTCATGATGACACATAGCCAATAGATACAAGCAGGTAACCAATATCTTCTATGAATATGTGTTGTTTAAAATGCTTACAAAAAAGTTTGTACCAAAAATACGATAGTAAGGGCGTTTTAAAACTCTAGGCTCGCTTTATAATAACTTCATTTCGATTACCCCCACCTAATATTATTCTGAACTACTGTGAAACTCAAAATTCACTTTGATGACTTGTGCAAACAACTTTGCTTTGGTATTCTGTTATTTCTGTCCTATAACTGTTAAAGCTTTTTTTTAATAACTAGAGAAGAGATTAGCTCAGAACTTTACAGACCTTCGGGGCTTTTATAAAAAAACCTTTACAGGTGTAAAGATTATAGAGAGAGCACTGCGATACTGCTCTAAGGTAAACGTAATTTTTATGAAACATTCGCTTTACTTCGAACTTCTTCAGAATGTAGAAAAAACTCCGTTACCTTAACCGTTTCGCTGCTTGAAACACTTGCTTAGAAGAAAAATAGGCCAAAGAAAATTTTTGTCGTCTTAAAAAAAACAAACACGAAGTTATGTCAATGTAGAAGAATATATGATGCGACTCTTTTGAAAAGGTATGAAGGTCATAATGGATTTCTTTTCAGAAAAACATACTAGAAAGCTTTAGTATGAATTTAAAGTAGAACGAAAAGTAATTAAAAATAGCAAAAAACACGTTCAGTTTAAACTGCCCTCCATCGTCAAGTTTACCGTGTTTATCGTGATTGTATGATATTTTGCATTGACAGTTAGAACAAGCAATTATCTTTGCACAAATTTACTATTTCTAAGAACTCACCTCGAAAGTAGAGTATGAGGTAGCTGGATGTTTTCTACGATTGTCTTGTCGCGGTTCCACTTCGAATCAACTGGATTGGCTGCAGCAAGGATCGACGTACGAGCGTTCAGTTGGCAGATGATACCTGCTTTGGCAATCGATAAAGTCTGTTGTTCCATAACCTGAACAGTTGTAGTGAATAACGAATAAAACATGCGAATTACAGAAGCAACAACCTCGTGAAGGACGCTTCTCGCAGATTCATTCATTTTATCAAACTCGTCAATACAACAGACTCCGTTGTCAGCCAATACTATGGCACCAGTTTGGAGAACGAGTTGCCGAGTTTCACCGTCACGGGATACTGAAGCTGTCAAACCAACAGCAGATGAACCCTAAGTAAAATATGTTATGAGCGCTCTTGTGAGTGACAACAATTCAACGTACTTTTCCGCTTGTATACTGACTTCTCGGAAGTAGTCGATAGACATATTGAAGCAGCTGTGACTTCGACGTACCAGGATCACCACAAAGAAGAATGTTAATCTGAGCGAATTAAAAATTGCAACTCCACATACGAACCATATTTGTTCTCCAGAACTTTTTTGAAATTGAAACGCGTACTTTGCAAAAATTTTTCCTACTCTTACCTCACTTCTCAGCTTAGTTTTATTAGTGGTTTCGTCTTCTTTTTTGGTGCCACCGAATAGCAAACAAAGAACTCCTTTCTTTACATCGTTATGTTCATAGATCGATGGAGCTACAAAAAATGATACATACATTTCTTGAAAGATATGAACCCGCGAGTATAATAAACCTGGAACGCATAATACACATTAATTCGAACGGACTACACTCTTGATTAGTTTGTTGGTAATTGTATGAGCAACCGGTACTCTGAGGTAAGATTATCTCACCGATTGCATGACTGAGTGCATCCATGATGTCAGCACGCTTGGACAAATTACGAATTTGCTCGATGCGTTCGTCAGTTAAGGACTCACTGTAAAGACAACATTGTAAGAACAAGTTCCCTAATAAACATCACTTCGAAACAGATATCGATCTCACACTCATCCGGAATTGAACAAGGGCAAGCACTCCCAGGATGCAGCCTGATTGTTAACAAAATCTCAGGAATTTACCCATTATCTTGATGTAGTCGAGAAGAATCAGTCTTCCTGAAGTGTAATGCGTCAACGTTCGTGCGATAGACAGCCATCAAGTTCCTTTGACGAGGATTGACCTGAAACGTTTACCATACCGTAAAGTCCGACGTTAACCTTAAAACTCTCAAAACAAACATGGTCGGTTCTGACATTACCATTGCCACTGAACGCAAATTGATCTGAGAATCAGAAAAAAAGAAAGACACCTTCGTAGCTTGAACACGGAAGATTCCAGTAAGAGTGACGCGATCTCCTGGCTGCACAGATTCAACCAGGTGGCCATGAGCATAGACGCTAACAGAATGAGGTGTTTGACCTGATGGCATGTCATCTGAACGAGAATAGGATTAATTTCGCAGAAGAAAAAGCTTCATAAAGGCCATATACAGCCGCATGTTTCATGCATATCATTTGTTATTTTGCCCACTTTTTAAAATTCAAAACGACTTGCCAGGAGACTCTTGGAGTTTAATTATTTGCTTATCTAGAAATATTGATCGGTTGTGAATTAGTTGGAAGCACATAGTATTTGAGCAGTTGCTACAGGTAGTGGGTTCTTCGATCCTTAAAAACTAACAATTACCTCATCAATACCATGGATGCGAATGCATCACAGTGGTAGCTCAAAGAAATAATTCCCAGTGACACTGGTAAACAGAACTGACCTTCCACGATCAACTTCACTCTCCACTGAAAACTTGCAAACAGAACACTGGAAAAAGCCCAGCCGCATTTCAGGGATAAGTGATGAGGTACGTGTCACCATTCCCGTGATCGTGATTAGTTGATCAATATCTAGATAGGAAAAACAATAACTTAAAATAAAAGAACCTATGGCTTCTGTTCCAGAACCAATCTTTTCCAGTTAACTCACCACATGGGTTAAGACTACGCATATTCCTTGTTTTGTCGGCGTTAAAAGGACGTAGTTCAATCGGTGTAGCAAGTGAACGGTTATACTTGTCTTGGTAGATCTCGTTTACTGTCATATCCATATAAGGAATGACATCCTGCAAACTGAATATAGGACCAATGCAATGAGAATGATGAAGAACAGAGCTTTCGGCACCAATCCCTTTCTCCGAAAAGTGGTCCCGAAATCTACACCACGTATCCAACTCTAAAGCATCGCAAAGGTGAGGGAGTGAATATTTGGTTCACAGAATGATTTCTAAAGACCTAACGATGTAACAAACAAGTGTATTTGTGCTCTTAGACAAGCCTAGAATCTTTAAATTTCCCGAACATGGAAGAATGGATGGCCTGATGTGCTTTGAAGCAAAAACGAACCAATGACCACCTGCACTGAGAAATCTCTAACCGCTATACTACATGTGCTCTAATCTGCGCAGAAGAAGGTAATTTTGAACCACTTTCTTTTAACCCCGAGATGATAATCAATATCTCGGTTTACTGAAGTTACTAAAAGTTGACGTCCATTCCGACTGTAGCTGTTCCAGCCCTATCAGGTTAGTAAGCGCCGTAATAAATCGAGTAGCGCCATGGCACTGAACAGCGCGATATCCAACCCACTCTATTTATACAATTATGAAAACTGACATGTCGCAAGTAATAACTGCTGTTGACAATTGAGTAATTAATGGTTCTAAAGGCAACAGATAAGCTTTATAGATAGCTATGACCAACCGCAGGGTACGCAATGATCTTTCTGTACAACGGCTCTGAATATGCCTTAACGTGGGCAAGGTTCAGATTGAGATATGGGCAATCAGTCTGATCAATCTCGAACAAGCGTTCCATGTAGTAGGGAACAGAAGTATCCACGGCTTGACGCTAAAAAGAAACAGTGGTATTCAAGCAATCTAGAGGAAGAAGAAAAAATAAGATGTATACGGTTGATGGTAGCATCAGCATATTTTCATCCTCATCTAGTGAAGACACCTTGAATTCTGTGATAAATCCTCGAAAAGCTCTGAACAGCAAACATACAGACATCTTGCAAAAAAACTGAATACAGTGGCTTCAGAAAATATCCACCTTTGCACATCCACCACACAGATTCTCGTTCCCCAGATATACATTCGAGGTTGTGTGTTGTCATCAGCAAGATCATCTTCCAAGCCTTCGATTCGAACAGTCCTAAAAGCTTCATAAATTGCACAACAGTGAACTGCCAAACCATGATATTCCAAAAAAGTCAGCTATCTGAGAAAAGTTTATATTAAGCAAATAAATATTATACCTATGATGGATTGGAGCTGTCCCGAGATCAGCACGCGCATGTCCACGGCGAGATGACAACGCTGTTGACCCTTGCGATGACAATCCCAATTCCGAGCCATACCGAAGCGATGAAGTAGCTAAATGTAACGTCGGGAGTGTTATCCTAGAGCTTTGGTGGGGAATATATGAAACAAAAGAATTTTTTCTCCTTTACCACACTGACGTTTCTGTACGTCTTAGTTTTGTGTAGCCGCCAAGTGAAACGACGCCTAATCTTCATCGTCTCTACGTTTATCTCCATGACTAATGTCCTTGAGGAGTTAAGGACTGAAGGACCTAACTCAGTTGTAGGTATTTTGTTGACCTACTGCTTAAAGAGTGTAGCGAAATGTTGCCTTACTCTCAAATTTGTTTAAATTTGAATTTTCCAAAACATTGGAAGTGAAGTTTTAAATTTTTTAAGTTTCTATCGCAATTTCGACATCTACAAACACAACGATACATTGAAGTAAACCACAATGGTGGACGAAATCCGTTTGTTCAATTACATCGTCGTTCCAATTTTGTCTCGAAGAAAAAAAAAACAGAAAAAAACGTTGTGAGATTTAAAAGTCAAGATATCACTGCCATGGAATCAGGAAAGTTGGAAGCCCATTGCGAGCTGCCACCTGTATGACCAGTGTTTTCGGGTACGCATAGGTCACCCAAAGTTCTGGTGCTAGAGCCGCTTCGTTGATTCATCACGAGCAGAAACAAGCATATCGAAGAACTATTCATTGCCAGTGAGAGAATAATTGGGACGACTTGTCTACTGAAACTACTAGTGGTTATCCCAGATACGTATTACCAGGATTAGGTGATTCCTTACGCGGATTAAGACATTTTAGGAACTTATTCCAGTTCATTGCTTCAGAAGCCCACTGTAATAACCAATTCGGCTTCAACTTTGGTAAACAATATGTGAAGCGAGGAAAAAACCTTAAGAAATCGGTCATGATCCCGGTATTTTTTTCAACCGATAATTTTCCTACAATAAGAGTATTTGAAGAAATGTGTTGCGCAGTGGTTAGAGGTACGTTGCAATACGTACGTGGTCGTTGGTTCGACCATGCGCCCTGCCCTAAACAAGCTTTCCACCACTTTGGGCTCGGCAAATCGGTACCGAACTTGTCTGGGATGAAAGCAGCACTGATTTTGATGCACCTATAAGCTACCACAAGTCATTGTATGAGCTAAACATGCATATAATCAACTCAAACGCTGCTTAAATGAAGTAGGATATATGGCGTATCGCTAAGAGATTAAGATAAGAAGAGATCAATGAAGAGAGCTTTATCCATTGAGCATCAAGAGTATTTTATAATTTGAGGACTTCATTTACCAGACTGGAAGAGACATTTCCCTATCGCTCCAAATATATATATGTATATATATATATATATACATAATTCCCCTTGAACGTTACTTTCATTTAAAACTCTTTTAAAATTGAATCTGGGTCCTGATAATTTTCATGTCGAATAACCGTCATGAGCCAAGATACATTTGTTCAAGTCCGAAAAGCCAAATTAACTACGATCTTATATGAGTCGAGCATGACTCACAGTGTCAGAAACCCTTCAGTGATCTAATCACATACCACTACGTACAGATGCGACCGGTGACGTGGCTTCACTGGCTAATGGCGCTTCGCTAGGCGGAAGAGATCGGAGATCGGGTGAACTCATTCCGATACTCCCTGCTAAAGAATAACTTCCATTATATTTATTCATTTAACTAGAACAGCTTACTATTCAATAACTCACACTGAGACTGGGATGAGACTGCAGCATTGCTTTGCCTTGACGATACTGGTCTTGATGGAGTTCGGCGACCAGAACTAGACATCCTTAACGAAAAGAAAGGCTATCCGTAAAAACGTTCCTCCGGAGCATTACGATCATAGAAATCTTTCAGTGTTCCAGGAAAACTTCGAAATTAAAGCTTAATACAATAGCACGATAGACAATCAACCTGGTTTAAATTGTTGGGCCTACATGGGTTTGACAGGATATTTTTTATTTATTCATCTAACTACCTCGTGTAAGCTGAACAACCCGAACACTTGTTAATTAGTCCTACCGAGGTTAAAGGAAATTCGGTTTTAGAGATATGCATAGTACTTTTCGACCTCAACTGGGTTCAAAACATAAACAAAACATAATTAAACAGTTAAACATAATACTTTCTAAATAACCATAAATATCGTAAAATAGCAAACAAATTAGTAACGTAACAGTACGACGTAAAGAAGGGAAATACTACGCCGATCCCATATTGCTCCAATTCGCGCACATTTTCAAATTTCCCGCGCGCAAGCCGTGGCTAGGGCGTCCCGTCGCCACGTAGGCCTGTCCTACTAGTCTAAATTACTGGGTACGACGATGTGGTAGCAAGGATAGTATGTGGTCAGTTCGCCAACAACCTACAATATCAATTTGTGTGTACCAACGGTAGGACACTCAGTTCTTAGGGTCCGGTTCTGTAGACTGGGTGCTGTACGATTCTTTACAGAGAAGATTGCGTCTCGGAAGCCCTGTGGGGAGACGGTGTACCAATTCTCCTTGATTTATTATCAGGACGAATCGTTCTTGCCTTGAATAGTGCAAGCTGTGGACGGCATTCCCTTCTGCATTTGTAAGGAATAAAAGATCTGTCCGCACGTCTGTGAGAGGAGTTACAATCTTAGGTCTCTAATCTACGTAGTTCTGACGGGCGCTACGTATACCTTTCCCAAGTGTTCCAGCTTCTTCCAAGACTGCTGCAATTTCTTTACAAAGCATAAGTTGCTGTAATGTTTCGTTGCCAACGGCATATGCTCGCTCTAGGGAGCGCGTAGTGCATTGGTTAAAAGTTCCCCTGAAATGCACATTGGCTCTCTGGTTCGATCTCGCACCTCGGGTTTACCAATTTACCAAGCCTTCCATCGTTGCGGGGTCGGCGGATTGGTACCGGGCTTGTTTGGAAGGATAGCAGCCTTGACTTGATACATCGGTTTGCAAACTGAAGTTATTGTATAAGCCAGACATGTATTCGATCGCTCCTGCGATGCTACGAATGGAGTCGAATGCATGGCACAATATCTGAGGAGTTGATCAACAACGAGATCCTTTAGGAAGATTTATGATCTTATCTTTATTGTAGCTTTATGCAGAGACGAAGGCCAAGCTAGCAATAGTTTGCAACTTCGCAGACGTAAATGGGAGAGTAAGAAAAGCAGTTCGCTATTCAAAAGAGCTCTTCTACTTTCGCTCACTCTGAGGAATAGATTTGCCGTAAATGATATTTAGTGAAAAGTTGTCCTCTAGTACTCATCATCGTGATAACGTTATACTTGACCCTAACTCTTTTATTTACTGCCTTTTTCTTCTTAATGGCAGGGTATGTTGTGAAATATAACTCGTATGAAGTGCTGAGATATTTGCAAAACTCCAGACCACAGGTGTATGCAGTGGCGAACGAACACGCGCTGTTGTCCTTACCGGGGAACAGCGCACTTCACCACTACACCATCCGGGTCCTTCGCTCTGCCTGTATCTCAGCTAGTTCTATCGATCTTTTTGCCATCAGCAATCACCCGTCAACGGGATTGATCTGGGGAGCCAATATCGGCATTGAACCCAGTTAGGCTGAGGCCTCGTTATAATCACAATTTTAACTCGATCGATAGAACTAGCTGAGATACATGCAGAGCGAAGGGCCCAGATGGTGTAGTGGTGAAGTGCGCTGCTCCCCGGTAAGGACAACAGCGCGTGTTCGTTCCCCACTGCATACTCCTGCGGTCCGGAGTTTTGCAAATTTCTCAGCACTTCATACGAGTTATACTTGACTTTAGTCTTTTTCACCAACTACACAAGAAGGTTCGCAGTGCTAGCGTACTTACGTTGTATAATTGTAGATTATTACCAAAGTCCAGTGGGTAGGAAAAACTTTGATAGCCTAAAAAGTCGCTGTAGTGCTGGCGGTCTCTCTCCTTAACCAACGGTGACACGTAGGAGAACTTTCGACGTAACTGGAATGAAGCTCTGCATTTTTGTTGTTTGTTGATAAACATACCCACACATGGCTTGCTATACTTTCCTAAAGTGGGTGTAGAGACTATTTACTAGAAGCTTCGCTAAAGTGTTCTTTGCTCGACCACTTTTGCCCTTACAGTTTTTAACCCAGGTCGTCATTGCAGATCCACCACACAACCGATAAATAAAAACCTATCAGTTGCACATTCTGTAGTAATTCACGACAAAAACAAAGGATATTTATCAGTACCTTCTATAACAGAAGATCATCAAAAATTACGTGTATAACTACTTTGGTGTTAACGACAACCAATTCTAAAGAAAACTTAGCATGGAAACAAATTGAAATTCAATCCTAGGACAAGAGTGAGAATCACTGAAATGGAAACAATAAATAACAGTAACCACTAAACAAGGCAACAATGCCGAGATTAATCGGCCAAAAAACCCATGAACACTTTTAAAAAGAAACAAAATCGATCCCCAATTTTTTCTGAAGTGCGACACATGCTATTAGAATGCAGCTATGAAATAGTGGTCAAGCACAACACCTTTCAATTTCCAATTGTTACATAGACAACCTCTCGTAAACATATGTATTACTGAAAAAAATCGATGCGTTTACAGCAACGAGAACATTGCGGCTGAGAAATACAAAGAAATCAGCCATTAAACAATTTTTGCGGAGGCAAAATGACGTGACATAATCAGGGAACTACCGTTAAAAGTTAGCATCTCACGATAAAAAGCATAAGTAGCACGTAACTTAGCAGTGTTCGACCATATGGGGCTCAATCGTTACACCGCGTCGAATCGTTCCCCATCCAATCAGTCGCCAATGCTTTTCAATACGACGTGATAACGCAATTTTCTCACCAATCTAAAAGATTTGAAGTAAAGTCGCGATACTCTTCCACCAATGTAAGCTATTTTACCGGAAACGTTACGTCTATCACTGTTCGTTGCATAGAAATTTTTTTTAAAGGAATGAATGGGTACAAAATGTAAATGTAAGACAAAAGAAGAAAAAAAAAACAAGGACAAAAGACACTGCTAAAAGTGATAGTTAAATTTTTTACACTATGGTTAGGTGTCTATGGTGGTGAACGCGTTACTCCCCGGAAAGGATAATAGCGCGTTCGTTCCCCACCATATACACCTGCGGTCCAGAGTTTTGCAAATATCTCAGCAACGTTGTGCTTGTATTTCGCTTAGTAACCTGCCATGAAAATTATAGAAGGCAGAAAACAAAAACGTTAAACTATGGTTAGGAACAAAATCTAAGTATAATGGCAAATCTACCTCAAATGACTTGTTTTTCTGACAACAGTACCGCAATCTTCTCACTTATTACTTTACTGAGATGAAACCTCAAAAAGCAGACCACCAAACGGTTTGCCACCTCATCGTGGCTGTGAAGTGTTCGTAGGTGTCGGGCTACGATGTATAGCGGGTGGGGATTCATCCCCTGGCAGGGTCTCCCAAGCTGAGAAGGACTCTGGCGTTTCCAGCAGGAAGCTAGGCTAAGAGTAAACCAATTCCAGAATGTGTCACCGTCCTGGTGCCAAACTTGTCGCATGTGGCAAATCTCCCTTTGATCCACAACGGCTGCGACTGCCTGTAATGGTGACGACCTGGAGCAGACTTCGACCTGCCTAACCTCGGGACTCCAGGGAACTACAATGGCTAAACCAGCAAAACTGCGAAACAATGGAAACTATGCTGGCACCCGCACAACCAGTGAGGATGGGCCACTCAAGCATCCATATAAGTAAGCGAGCACACAATCGATGACCAATTTTGAGGTGCGGAGATTTCCACAGTTCTATTCAATCTAGTATCTTGCAACCACCACGCATTTAAATGGTAGGTTCCATCCCTGGCATGAGAAACAAAGAAGGACGTAGGACTGACTGACGAACTGAGCGGTTGACTAACGTGATTCTCAAAAAATCGTAGACAACAGCGCTAGGGTATTCTCAGGTCGTTACGAAATGCCCTAGCCAGCCTTTCAATGAGGTAATTTTACTCCATTGCGACTTTCAGTGTTCCATAACAAGAGCGAACACTGCGAGCGGAGTAACCATAAGTTGAGAACGGTGTAATAAGCATATTGTCAATACCATAATAATAACAAAAACATGTAAAGGTTCTCACCTTAAGTTACGAATGATAATAATAGTAAAAAGCAATAAATCATACTTCTGTGCATATGGGATCAGTCAACGCGATTTTTGCTGCTTCACCTTTCACAGCGATAACACGGCAACCAGTAGAGAGTGACCCGATGTTGACCATAAGCACCTCTCCTTTAGTTAGTTTTTGAACCTAGGTAAATTAATCACCTTAGAGGCTATGCGGTTTAGTATTTATCGAGACGGCCGAGAAAACTTTGTAAAAGTAAATTAGCGGAAAGCAAAACCTTAGCTGCTTTCTTGTTTGCTTCGGTACGAACTCCTAAGAGTCGTCGCAACAAGAAAAAATTGATTTCGATTTCAGTAAAAATATCAGGAAGCGTTCCCACAGCTCCCAATATATGTCCTACTAAACGGTCGCCTCGGCAAAGTGTAGGATCAATCTTTGTACCAACACCAATTAATCCTGGAAAACAGTATTTGCGTTGCAAGAAAAGAACTTGGTCAGTGTAATAAAAATATACCTCCTGGTACAGCATATTCAAGATGATTTTGTTCCGCAAACAATGAAACGATCTTTGAAAATATCGGCCTACACTGCACTTTACCATCACTGGACTTCGATACAATACCAGGACGAACCTCAATTTCTTGACCCACACGAAGAATACCTGAAAGACGAATGTTCAGACGATAATAACAAATGTCGTTTAAAAGCACAGAGAAGCACCGATATTTTCACGTACACCCAGCAAAAATTAAAACGTCGTATAAGGATATTCAACGTACCCCTAAGAATTGAACCTCCGGCAACACCACCTTTTAAACTGTCAACTTCAGATCCTGGTTTGTTAACGTCAAACGATCGAATGACAATGAGACGAGCAGGTGACGTGAAGTCGCGGGATGGAACTGGTACTTTTTTACATAAGTACTCGCAAACAAGCTAAACTATCGAAATATATAGGATATATAGGGAAGTCTATCGCGTCTCGAATTGCTCATAAACGAGCTCACATCAATATTGTACTTTAGTTGAGCAGAAATTGGAATCACTGGAGCCTTATCAGCGACGGTGCCTTGAACGAATGACTTAATTTGATCATACTGCTCTCGTGCTTGTGACTCCTTGATAATATCCACCTAAACCAGGCAGTGATTACACATAGTGTAAAGACGTCCAACATGTGAGTGGATGCAAACAGGCCTGCATTCTCGCCATAAAATCTAAGCCACCTTATTTTGAAGTATTAAAAGATGCTGCAATTGCATAATCTCAACAGCAGCCAGATGTTCCGAAGTCTGCGGCTGGGGGCACGGTTCATTTCCTACGAGAAAAAAAAACGAATCAATCGATTATCGCGACGGAGTAAGTTGAACAAATAAATACCAGCGACAAGTAGAAAAGCTGCGTCCATCACAGCTGCTCCATTAAGCATAGTAGCCATAAGAATGTCGTGACCGGGGCAGTCGACAAATGAGACATGACGAACACACGAAAATTGTCCTCCGCAACCAGGTCGTTCACAAGGGAAACGGTCAGGAGTTGAAGAACCGGCGGACCTATTGAAGAAATTCTCTATAAAACTATTCGAAAACAATAATTTCCAAATTAACTGTCATTTAACCTTGGTAGTAATAATGAATACCACATCTCGGATTGTTAAGCTAACACGAGGTTGATGAAGAAAACCTAAGTATCTTTATTAGTAAGGTTTGATATAAAGATGTTTTTATCGAGCTTGTGTTAGCTCAACAATTTAAGAAGGTAGTTGAAAACAAATACCAGGAGCTTTTCGATGATAAAGAGAAGAATTGAGACCCCATAGAGTATCTAAAGTTGTCTAGAATCAGAGGACGTTTATAGCTAGCCACAGTCATTGGTAAAAAACATTATTTTCCTTGCATAAGGACTGATTTAATTTGGGAGAAACCAACCACACTTCTACAAAGACCCGCTGGGACCTTGTTTTAACATTGACAAAACATGGAATTAGTACCTTACACTACAGTTCCTCTCTACAGACATATTAACACCACTGTTTGCCAGTAATATAACAATCAATAAAATGAGTATAACTCTGCTTCCAATGAAAACTTACCTATAACAACCAGGTCGGGGACAATCTATATTAGAGCAGCGGTAGATTTTTGCATTAGCGTATCCCAGCTTGATAGTAATGTTTCTTTCCAATTCGTTTTTAAACTTGACAGTGTGTACTCCAGAGATGGCCTTCACTAGTGTTGACTTTCCGTGTGCCACATGGCCTATCGTTCCGATATTGATAGTAGCTTGTCGTGAAATCACCTGCAAGTTTAATAACAGCAGTTAGAATTAACAAAAAGCAAGAGAACGTTTAATGTGATTAAGGAAAGTATTCGGGAGAATAAAAAGGAATAATGAGCTATGTAACCTACCTGTTCAGTGAGGGGAGTCAAGTTTTCAGCACCAATTTTATCGAGATCTTGCTTAGCTAACCAATTTTGGCCTTGATCCTGTTCATTTTCTGAAGAAAACCAAACGTTAAGAAATGCTATTAACTCAAAAGATCGATTTTCTAAGAACCTCCGCGTAAATAATCGATATATTTGCTATGTGTTCTTATGAATTGATCTTGTAGAGACAACAACAACAACAACAATCAACTTGTACCAAGCTCACATCAGCTCAACAAGACCATTTCATAAGAACATATAAATATGTATATATATATATATGTCAACTATATTATTACAAACAAAGGATAAAAACGATGAAGCCCTCGGCGTTGATCAATCCCTGAGGGATGCGCCATGCATTTGACTTCACTAAGCGTCGTTTAGTGGTGACTGACTGCATATCTGACCTATACAATGACCCGCGATGGCCTACCGATGTATCGAGTCAGTGCTGCTATCCTCCTGGACAAGTCTGGCACCAATTTGCCGACTGGAGGGATGGAAGGCTTGGTGAGCCTAAGGCGCAGTATCGATCTCAAGTGTATTTCACAGCGCCTCCGACCACTGCGCCACCAGAAAATATTATGCAATATTATAGAATCCTAAGTAGTATAACATTACTAGATAGAGTAAACATCTTAGTAACATACCAGTGCTCATCGTGGCTGTATGTGAAGCCTGCGATAGCGAAAATCCCACCACTTAAAATTACACTGTAAATGGATATAAGGAGAAAAATTACTTTTAAAATTACTTCACAAGCACAACTTCGGAGTAACACTTAATCCAGAACATCCTGAGAAAAGACGAAACACAAAAAATCTACTAAGAAGAAAATAGGGTGAAGTGTTGTTAAAGGAATATTTCAGAAATGATGCAAATGGTGTTGCCAGGTAGAATGGGGCGAACAATTTCATCAGAGTGGGTACTTTCTACTTCCGCTTGTACTATATTTAATTCTGTATTTCAGCCTTATTCATACATTATCTACATAATTTAATATGCCAGTGACCCTGAATAATAAGCGGATAACACAACGGTTGTGATACCGGCCATCACGAGGAGGGTGGTGGGTTCGATCCCACAGAATAGGTAATTCTTCGTGTTTTTGTTGAGCAAACGCGAGGTGTTATTATTCTTTATTCACGAATGAGCTGACGTTTCGGCGGATTTCGCCTTCCTCAGAGCCTGGAAAGGTCAAGTTGATAGCAATCCGCCCAAACGTCAGCTTAATCGTGAACAAAGAATAGTAACACCTCGCGTTTGCTCAACAAAAATACGAAGAAAACCACACGTAAAAGTTGGAAGACCTTCGTGGACGACGGATCCGAGGAAACGAATCGGATGTGAGAAGTTCAGGGATCCGCAAATTAGACGTGAAGGCGGGTCATGTGGGAAAAATGAAAAAAATAACCTTAAATTAATTGCATCCAGTACCAGTTTTTTTTATTTTCGTGAGGGAGAGTAATTCTTAGCAAGCGCGCTTTTTACATTATTACAACTTATTAGGGTTCTTAACTTCCATAAGTATTTAGCATGGAGAAAGTGTTGGATATAGACAGCATTTTTGGCGATATGAGTTTTATGGCTCATTCCCGCGATGGTGAAGAGACAACGCAAATATCCAGGACAAAACGGGAATTAAGGTGAGATAAAATATATATTTAATGCTAAACCACATTTTTTATGAGTTAATGGTACCTCATTTTAAAAAGTCTCAGCTGATGGGGTATCTAGTTCTCCATAAAGAGCTTTACACTCCAAGTACACATTGGGTTTTGGCTTAAATTCAGTTTAAGTTCACGGTTAGCGACTATCTTCGCCGACGACAACACAACAGTCCCAAGTACCACATTACCTGGAGCGGCCCACAAGTTGGGAACGAAGAAAAACTCTGGAGTGACCCCGTCAGAAACGATTTTCGCGAGTGCCGTATACCTTTACTTATCACAAAATGGTCAATATATTTCCAAAGGTCGAGTTGGTGCGGCGATCGTTCGAAGTAATTCATTGGTGAGTTCTTGCACATTTTCAACTTAGGTATCAACAGTCATAGTTGAACTTTAGCTAGCGGTGTAAAGTAGGATAAAATGGGACATTGACATTTTTATTTACACAGGCTCTGCTCTAATTCCGTCTTGAGTACACCTACCATTCAAAGCGCGCCTAGCGCAGTGGTCGGAGATGCCTTGCAATACGTATGGGATCGATCCCCGTGCCCGAAACCCACTAAGCCCTCCATCTTCCCGGATTCGGAAAATTGGTACCAGACTTGTCTGGGAGGATAGCAACACTGGCTCGATGCATCGGTGGGCTACAGCAAGTCATCGTATGGGCCAGATATGCATTCAGTCACATGCAACGTTGCTTAATGAAGTCGAATTCTTGGCGCATCTCTCAGAGATTGATCAACGCCGAGAGTTTTATCCTTTATTTATTTTTCCATTAAAACCTGCCACTTAGTGCTGATAGTGAGGTGGAACGTCTTCAGGACACTTGTTCTTCTGTTACTAAACCTCCTCGGGAAGTCATTGCCTATTCGATGTCGCATTCATTATCTCAGAGAACTTACAGACGTCCTCAGGACACCGTTCTGTGATAGGCACACTTCTTTCGAACAGCAATCAACTTCTGCCCATAGGCTGCAACTCATATGTTGTCTTCGTATTTTTGTTGAGCAAACGCGAGGTGTTATTATTCTTTGTTCACGATTAAGCTGACGTTTCGGCGGATTTCGCCTTCCTCAGAGCCTGGAAGGGTCAAGTTGATAGCAATCTACTCCGCCATACGCTCCATAACCAAACAAAGAAACTCCAAACCAAGATTTCAATCACTTTGAACACAGCTTTGCACACTCACCGCTTCCTATGAGGTTAATAGAAAGTCGGTCGTGGCAGTTACTCATATGTTGTTTCTGTTATGCGGTTGTTTTCAGATTTTCCTTGTCTTCTATAATTCTAACAAGGAGAATCTCTTATGTGTTCCTCTTGGTGATGGAAGCATTCACAAAATCGACAAACAAGAAAAGTACTGCACAGTGAGAACAGCCTTGAAAACGTTCGGCTTTGTTTGTCTCAATGATGATGACGAGGCAAAACTGTTAGCTTTAGTATGTTCTAAAGTATTCAGTTAATACCAAGTTATAACGTCTTATTAGTGGCTCGAAATTTAAATAGTCTATGTGTAGTTATTTTCAGTTGATGATATTGTGTTCGATTAAATCCATGGTTCTCGAAGTGGGTACTGGTGATGAAGTGGAAATAGGTTCCTCGATTTTCTACAGCTCCACAAAATTTACCTTCGATGGAACCTCCATTGAGGTTTGCGGTTTTTGTCCCTCATTTTATTTCCCAGTTATATTTTGGAGTGCCCACCCGATCTAAGGAGTTTGATTCAGTAAATTCTTGACCCCAACGAATTATCTGTCGGATACTACTGTGCAGTAGTTGTCGTTTAGTTAATACAAGTGCAAAATATGATATTGATTTGATTCAGGTTGTAGCACAACAACCTTCCAAACATCGTGTGTCAGTGAAGAGCGATTCGTGGATGTTAAGCTTACTTGGATTGAAAAGATCAGGAAGGCGCTTGACTTTACTGGATGATAATACAGCGCTGGCTATTCATGTCAGTAAAGTCAAAACTACTTCCAAGTGAGTTAGTTTTAGCTCGTTTGGGTTAGTTCCGTTTAGTGGCGCGTGTAGCGCATTCGTCGGAGACGCCCTGCAACATTCACGGGATTGGTTCCCGCGCTCCTGACCCACCAAGCACCCCATCCTTCCGGGGTCGGCAAATTGATACCAGACCTGTCTGAGAGGATAGCAACACTGGCTCGATACATCGGTATGCTACCGCGAGTCATTGTAAAGGCCATATAAGCATTCATTCACCTCCAAACGATGCTTAATGAAGTCGAATGCATGGCGCATCCCTCAGGGACTAAACAACGCCGAACGAGAACTTCATTCTTCATTCTTTTAGTTTCGTTTAGGTTTCCTTTTTCGAAGCTTGTTTTATAAAGTGAGAGGTGCGTCACATGCGCTATTTTAGAAAACGAAAAGAAGACACCGCGAAGCAGAAATTTTCGGAGGAAGAGCTTTCACAGCGTTGTGAAAGTCTTATGACAGACGTATCAAATGTAGATATAAGTGAGAGCGAGGTATAATGTTAATTTCCCACTACTTTTTGTATTCCTCATTTAGCATATTCAGACCAGTCTTCATAGTGAAAAAAACATCGGTAGGGATGCATTAGGAAAACGTATGGACAGGCTGGAAAAGTCCACTTTAGGTGAGGATAATGAACAGCTTTAAAGTTTTGAACTAGGACGTTCTCTTCTTCTTTACACACATGGGTTCAATGTGAAGAAAATTCCTGGTGGTGCGCTCAGTAGCGTTTTCTAGCAAATTTTGTGACTTCACAAATGGGATTAGACGAAAGCCACATTTTAAAACCGACTTTCCTTTAACCTCGATTTGACTAATAGATGTGTACTTTCTCTCCATAATGACAGAAAGAATGCATATTGAATGCCACATTATCAAATATGCATTTAGCTCTGGGAATTTACATTTTCATATTTATAAAATTCTTGTTGGTACTTCAGAGAAGCAGTACGTATTACCTTACGCACATGTAAACGATAAAGGATAAAGTCTGAACGTTTATTAATCCCTGAGAACTGCGCCATACATTCGACTTCATTAAACATCGTTGGATGTGGTTGAATGCATATCTGGCCTTTACAATGTTTTGCGGTGGCCTACCGGTGTATCGAACCAGTGCTGCTATCCTCCCAGACAAGTCTGGTACCAATCTGCGACGCCGGAGGGATGGGAGCTTGGTGAGGCTGGGATCCACTCCATGTATTGCAGGGTGCCTCTGACCATTGCGCTACACGCGCTCCTTACACGCACATGTATATGTGGTTTTTCCTAGAAAACAACAAGACTACTTGCTTCATTTTGAGATTTTTCAAGGGTTTCCAGTGTCGCTGTTCTTCAAAGTATTGTTTTTTCAAACTTTAAATATCAGACTTCTCACTGATGATTTATAGCATTACTTAGTTGTGCTCTCTAGCACTTACTGTTTCAGCTTCAACGTCAACGCAGAGAGGAAGTCGAGACTCTAGCCAGCCATCAACTACGAATTCCATAGATTTGCGAAATTCTAACGATGAGCAGCAGGATTACAGCTCCTTCACAGACGGTTCATTTGCACAAGTCCACGATGACAAACGATATGACCATGTATACACTATTATATTTCAAGATATATGGAAATGTAAACCCTTTTTTTGTTTGACAGCGTATCGCTTATTTACAAAGCGATAAATCGGATCAGCTGCTTACCGACTACTCAGCCCTTCACCGAATAGTTGGAGTGGAAATCGATCGAATAGAAAGCCGTTTACAGATGGCCTTGGAACGAATGGTTAACGGCTGCATGAATTCGATCAAAAATGAGGTCCTGTTTATCGTAAGAGGTAGAAATATGAAAAATAGGTCCTTACAAGTCTTTCACACCTTTGAGAACGTTTCCCTGAGCCTCTCCGTAATCGTTGCATAGGTTTTTTTTTTTGCGTAAAAACCCTCAATTCTACACCAAGTTTAACTTTTTACAGATGATTCAAATCAAGGAAACGCAAGAGCTTATAATGGAAAAACTTGAAGATCTCAGGAATGGAGGATGTCGCTAGATAACATATGAAAGTTATAGCACACAATTACTTTATTTTTGTAATATATGTATGTGATATAGCAGAATTATGACTAAACCGTCCATCAAGCATTCTATCTCAAACCACCAAGAGATCATAAAACAAAGGGTGGAAGCGAGGGTGAATGAAGACATATGAGACGTAAAACATAAGCAATTTCAAACACATAACTGAATTCGAAACAATCCTTAAGAAGAGATAACAGCAGATGCAGCTTCAACTTGCGCTTTAGCTTCTGTGAGTTCCTGACATTCTTCCAAGGAACAATCTTTGATGAGCTTTCGAAGCTCCTCCGTAGCCCTCACACAACGCCGAGCTGTATCGCTAATCATCAAGCGAGTTTCCTGAATAATCTACCATCTGATATGGACAGTTTACCGCCTCATTGTGGCTGAGAGGTGTTCCTACGTGTCCGGCTGCGTTGTACAGCGTCGAGGATTCAGCCCCCTCCCCCCTCCACCCTCTGCAGGGTCTCCAAAACTGAGGAGTCCGCTGTTTCTGTGAGGAGAGTAAACCAATATCAGGTTCGACCACCGTTCTGGTATCAAAGTCGCATGGTGAGAAATATCTCTCTGATCAACAAAGGCGGCGACGACCTGGGGCAGATTTTGGCTAGGTTGACCTCGCGATTCCAGTGAACCACAGTAGCTAAACCAGTGGGACCCCGAAACAATGGAAACTGTGCTGGGGCCTGCAAAATTAGTGAGGACGGGCCATCCAAGTTAGCAAGTATCGTGTAAACATTATTATCACTGGGGAAATACCTGCAGTACTTGCTCTGCCTTTTTAATAGCGTACTCGTCATCTTCGTTTTGTGCTTCGGACTTCATTTTCTCGATTTTCTGTAGCTCTTTTTCGACTTCTTTCGTATAACAAGCATGTTCCTGAAACAATTGCATAGGAACGAATCAATCAGACGCAATAGAAAAAGCCTACCTTCATAATGCGTTTTACCACACCAGTTTGGATTTTAACCTGCTTAAGAGCGGCTGGATCCATCACTTTGAAGAAACTACTCGTGAGAAATTACCTGAAGTCACTAAAGATGCATTCAACAGCATAAGAAATGGAAAAGACATGTAGAAAACAATCCAGAAACTTAAGTCTGATGGTGCTGATGGGAAACTTTTGGTCCAGGTCTCTTCAGAACCAGCAGAAGCTGGGTTATTCATCCAACTAGATACATGAAGGTGGAAAATAATAACGCCGTAAAGAACATCTTCAATTGGCAACCTATTTAAAAATCCAGTAGGGTGTTTTTGCTTTTGTTTTGAAAACACATTTACAAAAAGGTTCTCGGATGATGGAGATGGAGCAGATAGGAGAGATGGTTTGTATTGGTGGAAAAGCTAGAGGTTCCTAAGGTAGTTATGCAATCTATTACTCAACAAACCATATTCTTTAGCTATCAATCCTAAGGAAACATAGTTTCTGGAAGAACACGGAAAAGGAAAAGTCCGCTGGTATCAGAAATCACTTCGGTGATTTGTCATCCATAGAGGAATGGTCATAGTAAATTTAAATCATGTAACCATGGTTGACCAATTCTGTAGTTTTCCGTGGGTGTGAAATTGCGTAAAGGAAAAACTTGTGGTCTTAGTTTTTTTTTTTTGCAAAACTCCGGACCGCCGGTGTATGAGGTGGGGAACGAACGCGCTATTGTCCTTTCCAGGCAGTAACGCGTTCACCACCACACCATGCGGGTCTTTCCTTTCGCCTGTCTCTCAGCTAGCTCTACCGATTTTTTGCCATCAGCACTATAGCCTCAGCATAACTTCGTTCATTGCCTGCGGTCCGGAGTTTTGCAAATATCTCAGCATCATTGAAGTTGTGGTCTTGGTGTTTGGTTTCGTATGGCTTATCATAGACATTTTTATTAAGTGTTAAGGTTCTTCGATTTCGAAAGTGAAATTTCCCCTTTTGGTTCTCTTAGAACGAGCCTACTCAGATGGTTCAACCGGAGAATACCTCGAACAATGAAGTGGAGGCAATGAAGCAGAAATATGAGGTAAATGTTTCGCTTCCTTGTTTCATGGGTATCTCTGTTATTTTTAAGCTTTTAGCAAAGAAGACGTCAGATTTTACTCGAAGAGCAACAGCAGAAAAGGGATGGTATGAATCTTTCATCTGACGAGGAACACTTGGCCGATGAGTTGTTTCTGTCTGCTGCTCAGCGTCGCAAGGAAAAGGTGACCGTCTCTTCCTCCTAGTTTCATTTTGGTTAGCAAATATGGTTTTCATAATCCCAGATGTTTCTGTCGGTTTCTTTTAAAATTCTTTAATTCGAGTACTGGTAGTCTCATCGTGAACGCTGGGTTGACAGTACTGGTATTACTTCTGACAGCAACATATAGTTTAAAGTTACATCGACGGGCCTTGCTCAAACACGTTCTCGCGCCTTCGTCAGCACAACAAGAAGAGGAGCTCGCAGCGAAGAGACGAAAGCAAGAACAAGAGAAGAAATCGGAAGAATCGAAGAAAACGCTGTTAGAAAAACACGCTGAGCTGAAAGAAAAGGATGCAGGTGAGTTCCAATGAGATGGGTTCATCCCCTCTCTTTAGTTTCTTTATCATATCCTTTCCAGAAATCGATCCACGGGAAAGGCAAAGGTTGGAAGAGCAGAGTCTACTGGAGAGCGTAACACAGAACAGCGCCCTACATGCGGCTGTAGAGATTGCACAGGGTGTACAGTACACTGAATCATTTCGAACATCGTAAGTTACTGTGAGTTGATCAATGGCTAATCTACTAAGAAGTTAATCGTGTTGCTGCATTTTCACACTTATATGTTTCTTGTGTGTAGCGCAGTGGTCGGAGGCGCCCTGCAATACACATAAGATCGATCCGCACACCTAAGGCTCACGAAAGCTTCCATTTCGCCGGGGTCCGCAAATTGTTACCAGACTTGTCTACGATGGTAGCAGCACTGGCTCGATACATCGGTAGGCCACCGTGAGTCATTGTAAAGACCAGGTGTGCATTCAGTGACTTCCAGACGATGCCTAATGAAGTCGAATGCGTAGCGCATCTCTCACAGATTGATCAACGCCGAGAGCTTTATCTTGTTTATCCTTTATGTTTTCTGCTGGAGTAAACATTTCTTTCTCGTTATCTCTTGAGTCTACAACTCCTAAAGTATAGTCTTTGTCGGTCTATGCGTAGTTTTTGGTTCTTGCTGTGCTTTTTCAAATTTAAAGCAGAACGTTTATATCTCTTCAATCCATTTTTAGTTGGCGTCCACCTTTTCATATACGAAATCAAACAGAAGAGGATTTCGAAACGTATAGGAAAAGAAGAGGAATAGTTGTTGATGGGATCGACTGTCCACCACCTATTGGGAGTTTTCTGGTTGGTATTTTTTGTTTGTTGTGTTTAAACTATGTAATCTGTTTTGCGTTACTATGTCGCCGACACAATTTTCTCTAAGAGATTAATTGAGGCAGCTTTTCCACTTAGAAGACCATGTTTACATGGAAAATTAATGGCTTGAGGTGTTCTAGTTTCGGGTGATATTGCTCATATTGCAGGCGAAGTATTGCTTGCGCATATCTTTGCTCAGTAAGATTTGACTTCAAACCTTAGTGTATTGCTTTAAGGAGATGAAGTTCCCGAAGTCCGTTCTGATTGCACTGAAACATAATAATATTCACATCCCAACCGCTATCCAAATTCAGGGGATCCCAGTTGCGTGAGTTTCCGTTTGGCTTCTCAGTCTTTCGACGATGATTTTTCACGTTAAATTTCAGACTGTCTGGTCGTGATATGATCGGTATTGCGTCTACTGGTTCTGGAAAGACGCTGACTTTTGCTTTGCCACTTATTATGTTCTGTCTGGAACAAGAGTATATGCTTCCTTTCGAACGAGGCGAAGGACCATATGCCTTGATAATTGTGCCATCGGTGCGCTTCTCTTGTCAAAATTTCTTTGTTCATGCTTAGATTTTTGGAACATGCCCCCTTATTTTCTTCCAAATTTTTTCTTTACTCCATTTTCCATTATAAAGCGGGGTCGAATTGTCCGAAGTCGTCGGTTCTCGTAGCATTGATTTCACCAGTTCCATTTGGGTAGCTTGAGGAATTTTGGAAACGGATGGGAACAGATGGAGGTTACCGTGTGGGATTGAGATAGGGTCGTTATAAAAATTATTGTCCACTCGTTGAACTAACTAATGAGTACAGCTACGGTAGGCTGTAATTCCACTAATCCTTACAAAGCGTAAGGAATCATTCTTCACACTACGTATATTCGTCTGAAGCTTATAAATGACTGTTTGTGCTGTCATTAACAATTATTCTCAACGTCCAGCTCGGTGTTGTTGTGAAAAAAAAACTTTATTTACTTCTTATAGCGCGAGCTGGCCAGGCAAATTCATGACGTAATTGTGGATATATTACAATGGGTTGAACTTGATACCAAAATGCCCAAAATACGAGCTGGACTCTGCATTGGAGGCGTGCCCGTTCGCGAGCAAGCACAGATCTTCAAGGAGTAAGTGTTTTACTACTCTATGCCGAAGTAATAAATGGGTAACTTCTTTGCAAAGACATTCGGTTTTGTTTTCATAGATTTCAGTACAAAGGAAAGCGAAGGTAAAAGTATTCTCAGGAATGTCGTAATTTGGAATTCATTTTTGAAGACCTGTTTGACTTAGAAGTCAAGGATGTTGTATGACTTTGTTTTGAGGGATTGTCTTTGTTGGCTTTAACGGAAACTAGAATGGCATTAAAAAATTTATCGAATCTCATAGGACTGCATCAAAAAACGGTTGTAAAGTGCCCTGAAGTATATGTAGAGCGATCTTTCGTTCCTGTACTAACCACACCATGTATCCTCCGGAGTCAATATATTGGTACCAAACTTGAGTAGGAGGACCAAAACACCGGTTTCATTCATGGGAGAGCCATTGCAAGGCATTGTGTTGGCTATGTATGAGTTGAGTTATCTCGTCGATCCTTATTCAAGTGGAATTCATGCGTATCCCTAAGGGATTGATCGACGACAAGCACTTTATGGTTTGCCCTTTAATCCGTTGAAGAAATAAATCGTCCATAGGCACTTTGAGATGGTGATTTCTACTTTTTCTTGAAGTAATATTCAACCACTTAGGCTGTTATGAGCTTACCATTTCTGCAGTAGGTTAAAAAATTGTCGGCACATTTTTATGCGGCAGTGGACATAAATGGCGTCAGAGTTTAGTAACAGTTCATAGTTAATCTTATTCAGTTTTCACTGCCAGGAGCTGGTTAGAACAGCTCTAAAATTTTGTGAATTTTTTTCATGCGTAGATGTGGTTATTGCAACGTCATAGTTACGGTTCTTCTTATGATACAGTGATTTTTTAAACATAAAATTTTTATTTTTTTAAATGATCTTATAAATTGATCTTCTTTAGCTGATGCGAGGTTGGTATAGGTCTTCGTTGTCGTCGTTGTTTTCCACTCGTAACATAACGGCTCTCAGGAAGGCGAAATCGCTGAAACGTCAGCCATCGACCAACAATACCGACAACAACGACAACGACAACGAAGACGTATACCAACCTCGCATCAGCTAAAGAAGATCAATTTATAAGATCATATAAATAAATATATCAGCTATCTATGCCGAGGTTTATAGAGAGTCGGTCTTTTAAGTTAAAAAATTTTTGTTAGGAGTGAGATGGTCGAGGCGGCCTACGACAGTCAGAGGCTTCCTAGTTACTACAACATAAGGTGTTTCTTATTAAGTTATATGGCTGCTTTGGAATCCAGAATTTCTCTATTCTGCCATAACATCATCAACCTAGTGACAGTAGCTCCTCGATAGCGTATTTCCATAATCATTGAGCGTTACCGTATGGACGTCATTCGAAAGTAGATCTGAAAGGACAAGGGTTATAGTTTATGGCACGAATCAATACCGTATTCTTCTTTTTGGTGACCTTGTTCTAATATCAAGAGTTACATATGCAGATAAGGACTGGTATATTTGCACCATGCATGTAAAGTAATCGGTGAAACGCTGGATCTACTCAAAAAGCGGGGTTAGTGAAAGGCGAGTTTCTTGCTGATAGAAATCCGCACGGGACTTCAATATGGTGAGCGGTTTATTTCGATTCCATGATTACCCCTTAAACTGCACTGAGATTACTTACCTAACGTATGCCTCGGGAACTTTCACGTAACTGAAACGTTATGGTAGTTCGCCTGGCGTTATCGGATGCCTGTCTGAGTGTTGCTAGGAGTATTGTGTATCACGCTAAATAAAAAGAATTTGGTGTTCCAAACTTATGTTGAGACTAAATGTCAAGTCAGGTCTTGCTTTAAATTTCTATCCATTTTGTTATCGAATAAGTAATTTTGGAAAGATGGCTGTTGTTTACATGAATGAGTTTTGAACATTGTTCCAATGGTTTTGACTTGCATTATTTTTCAATTCTAAATTGTTTCTTCTACAACGTGGTTGCATTGCTTCGTACTTCTATTTTTTCAGCGGAGTTCATGTGTGCGTTGCTACACCAGGTCGACTTTCCGACATGCTTACAAAGAAGATTTTCAATCTTGAGGTGCGGTTGATTTTGTTTTTTTGGACGTCGTCTGGTAAACATAAGTATTCAGGTAAAGAGTAGAGGGTAAACTTTGGCAATCCCATCAGTTTTTTTTCAGAAAATATTTTTTGAAGCCAGTTTTTCTTTTAAGGGGTATCCACTTTTAATTATTTGCTTAGCGTTGTAGACTTCATCTTCACTATCTTCCATGTACTTGTTGTCAAAGATGCTCTAATCCTTCTAATTATACTTGTTCAACGGTGAATAGCAAATTGAAGAACTACTTTTAATTCATCAAGAATATATATGTCTTATTCACTATTCGAATGACCATTCTCTCGAATCATCCTCCTGCTAATCCTGTTTCTTTCCCAGGTTTGTCGTTATCTTGTACTCGATGAAGCCGACAGAATGTTGGATATGGGGTTCGAAGACGAATTGAAATCGATTTTTGCTTTTTTCAAGGTGTGGTAGCCATTACTAGTTTGAAAAATGTTTAATCACACCATAATGATTCAGGCCCAACGACAAACTCTTCTCTTTTCGGCCACCATGCCAAAGAAGATTCAAAATTTTGCGAAATCTGCTCTTGTTCGTCCAGTGGTACGGTTTTCTGGAAATATTTTTTTCCTTAAGCTGACATGTTGTTCTTACGGATTCTAGTAATGCTGATATGAATGTATAGATCATGAAGTGTTTTTCCACTGTTATAAAAATTAAATATTGCACAGGTTGTAAATGTTGGTCGTGCTGGAGCTGCATCACTAAATGTTCTGCAAGAAATCGAGTACGTAAGGACGGAGGATAAACTCACAAGAGTGTTGGACTGCCTTCAGAAGACACCACCAAAGTAAGTGATTCCACTTTTTGTATTCTTAGAATAGATAGCTACAGCCTAGGTACAGGCCTTCGTAAATTGTCAGTGGTCGTGTCACTTGCTAAGTGCTGACGAACTTGTATGGTGCACTGAGTAAGTAAAGGTGGTAGACTATGGAGTTATTTTATCACCCATTGTCTGATTTCTAAAACTACTAACAACCTTTCTTCACCTACACACTGAATTCATATTAGTGCTACATAGTAATTTATCGAAATAAATACACAGTCCTCCCAACGGTTTACCGCGTCATCGTGACTGGGAAGTGTTCTTGGGTGTGGGACTGTGATGTACAGCAGGAGCATTCATCCCACTGGCAGGATCTCCCAAGCTGAGAAGGAGTCCGGAGTTTCCACCAGGAAGTTTAGCTAAGAGTAAACCAATACCAGGATCCACTATCAAATTACTCGCATGCTGGCAAATCTCCCTCTGATCCACAAGGGTGGCGACCACCTGTGGTGGTGACGACGTGGGGCAGACTTTGACCAGGCTGACTTCGGAATTTCAAGGAACCATAATGGTTTAACCAGCAAATCTCTGAAAAAATGGAGTTATGTTGGGGCCCGCACCATCAGTGAGGATGGGCCATCCAAGTATCCATGTAAGTAAGTAAACGATATGAGTAAGAGTGGGTAACTGTTAAAGAAGGACATAGTTATAATGTTTGTGATTCAAATTGCTACAAAATTTGTTTTGTCCTAGTTTATTAATATCTTCAGAATTGTGGAGTCAAACGCGTATTACTCTTTCTCTATTCAGGGTTTTGATATTTGCTGAAAAGAAAGTGGATGTAGACAATATATATGAATATCTGCTTGTGAAAGGTGTGGAAGTTGCTTCAATTCATGGTGGGAAAGGTAAGCGGCGACCCACTACGTTTGTAAATGTTGAGAAATTGAGTGGGACTTAATCAAAGCTTTCCATTCTGCTTCTACGTTGTTCTTCTTTTTAAATGCTTTTCAGAGCAACGTGATAGACATATTGGAATTGATGAATTTCGACACGGTCAAAAGGATGTGCTTGTTGCGACTGATGTCGCTTCAAAAGGTCTTGATTTCCAGGTGATTTTTTTAAGTGGACCTTCCAATCAAAGATCTTATGGCGCATACTTATAACCAAGCACTCCTTTATTCTTCTTTGTGTTTTGTAATTTTTACGGATGTTAATCAGCTTGTCGATTTGTAATTATGAGGAGTTAAGCGAGAATAATAACTTTTAAGAAATGTCATTTGTTTGACTTATGTTTTATTTTTTCCTCTTTTCCAATCCATATGAAGACCGGATTTCGTATTTTGTCCACCACATGTTTTGTTAAAATTTCTAACTTAGCGCTTATGAGAAGTCGGTTATAAGTGTCATCATAAACATCATCGCAAAATATTAGAATTTCTGTCTTACGTTTGGTTCGTACTCGTATTTTCTGAGCTGTGGGGCTGCTTACGGGCGCGTGTAGCGCTGTGGCTAGAATGGCCCTGCAATACATACGTGGTCGTTGTTTCGATCCCACACCCAAGCTAACCAGAGCCGCTATCCATCCAGATTCACCAGATTGGTACCAAAGTTGTTTAGAAGGATAGAACTGCTGACTTGATGCATCGCTAGGCCACTGCGAGTTATTTTATGATCCAGGGATGCACTTAATAACCTCTGACTAGTCTAATTGAAGTCGTAGGCATGGTGCATCTCTCAGAATTTATGCCGAATGCTTTATCTTTTTACCTCACAATGTGACTTAGATATTTCAAAGCGACGAAATACATGGAAGCTCTTCAGAAGGTGGTAGATCATGTATCTAGTAAAAGAAAAAACCTCTGATACAATCCTTATATTACATCTTTGTAGAAGTTTGTTTCTAGGGTATTGAACATGTGATTAATTACGACATGCCCGAAGACATCGAAAATTACGGTAAGGAATATTTATGTTTATTTTTTTCAGTGCAAGTAGCTTGGTTGGAGTACCAACACGGTTAGGGTTTCATTGAGTATTTCATCTTAATGGCTGTAAGAGCAATTGGATCACCAAATTTGGTAGGGTATGTGTACCACCAGTCGTACTTGGTCTATGGTAAGACAACATTTCAAAAAAATGGGTGTCTAGGATTTAGATTTCCCACCAATGTATTGTTTGAGCTACATATCTGTCCAAGAGGCACAAAATTCAGGGACGATTAAATGATGTTCTCATGCGCCCGGTTGATTACACAGTTGGCTTTTCATCTGTATCACAAACTTGTTAACCATCGAGTAAATCTAAGGAACACAGGTCAACTAAATTCCTTTCCTAGAGCATGAACGTCGTTTAAAGAAATCGCTTTTTTCGTCCTTTATGTGTCAGCGTGGGTGGTTATCGCTTAGAATTGACCTGAGAATCGATCTGTTTTACTGTTCAGATGAATTGTACTGTTTGTTCTGTTTAGTATTTGTCCACTTTAGTCCATCGGATTGGTCGTACCGGTCGTTCGGGTAAACGCGGAATGGCGACGACATTCATTAATAGAAAAGCTGGTTTGTATGCGGCCATTATTCCTGACTAAATTGCGATAATGACTTTGTTTTCGGAATGTTCTTGTAGCCGAGTTACTGAAAGCAATTTTTAGATTTATCGGTGATGCAAGATTTGAAACAATTGCTTGTGGAAGCCGGCCAAGAATTGCCTGCGTTCCTCCGCGACCTTGCGGGAGATGTGGAAGAACCACCAACAGGAAATGTGGATGACAAGGTAATATATAGCTGTGATGAGATACCCGTTGCTTTGGTCTTCAACGAGAGCGAACCTTCTACTCCATCGAGAATGAGCATTTATGTTCTGAATTGTCAAAGCGACTACTTTTGTTCTATGATCAGCGGTTAACCTAAGTCATTAACTACACTGAAACTACTTTATCATTTTTATTTAACAAATTGTAAATCCAAAGACCAACTCACTACTAACCTTCGTATTGGTGAAATATTCCACTGTTTTCGTGATAGGCAAACACTAGGTTGTCACTTTGTTTTCTTCACAAAAAAGCTGACGTTTGGCGGATTTTGCCTACTTTAGAACTTCTTTCTATGAGTCTTCCATTGAGTGTTTCACGTGGAAGCAGTTCACATGGATTTACCGGGACTTAGCCATCCATGTGAACCCTGTGTGATTGCTCTTCACGCGAAGTTCTCAGTGGAAGACTCATAGAACGAGAGCCAAAGATGGCAAAATCCACCGAAACGTCAGCTTTTTGAGGAAAAAAAATGACGTAACAACGTACTTTTTGTTTATCGAAAAAAAAACAAGGGAACATTTTAACTAATTGTGTTAATGTAATAATTCATTTCTAGGGTTGTGCTTATTGCTCTGGTCTTGGTCACAGGATTACAAATTGTCCAAAGTTGGCTGGCATAAATACAAAGGTTAGCAAGTTTTGCGCCTATTTCCTTGCGCGGCATTTGTTTTAGACCTTTGTTAATCGATTATCTCGCTTTCTTCACACATTTGTTTTTACAATTCCAGACGGCCCAGTCTTTGGCACGTGCTGGGGGAGACGATGGAATGTATTAACGTTCACTGAGGTTTTTTTGCCTTTTTAATTTGTCCACTACAGGCCAAATAGGTTGTTAATCCATAGCAATTGTTAGTTGTGTGTAAAAGTGACATTACTTGTGATCTCAAATGAATACCGCTTCTGTTTTCCATTGTATCTTTTCTCTTTTTGTGGTGTAAATATGTCAGTTATTCCATTTACACTTAAAACCGGGTAGTTTTTATTGTTTATGTCTACCTTCGTTGATATTGTTGTAATAAATTTGTCCTGCCTTTCTATAACTTATTTCCATTCGTGAGAAATCTTCCTTCTCTGCTTCACTAGGCTCAAATGTTTATCATTTGTTTGCTGCTGTGGTCTGGAAGAACTCATCCGCGTAATTCACAATTCTGCACTCAGGAACATCCCCTTCAGATGCAGAAATGAGGATAATAGGTATTTTCTTTAACTGTTCTGTCATCTGTTGAGCAGGTTAAGTGGGTCGAGTGTTCTGCAGCAAATTCTCATTCCAATATGTGGCGTACAACATTAGTCCGGTGGATTTTTCACGACTTTGGAATTCACTGAGCATATTTTCTTTGTAGGATGTTTGTGAATGGTTTTGTCCACCAAGACGATAGTGTTTTTGTTGGGCATTTTATATTCCCTAAGGTCCACTTGCTAACAGCTATCGTCCACCAGGTGTCGTTAAGATGCATTACATGTTGTGCACAACCGATTTTTGATATTTTGGTGGGCACAACAGAGTCTCTGATCTTTGGTCGTTGACCTAGCTCGGAATGCCAGAATTCTTGTCTCGCTTCCGTGTTGCAGGATATTCCCATCGTCGTCCTCTCGACTGTGCCTTCGATAATGCGGAGTGGTCATTCGTCCCGCTTACGTAGAGGCCAGGTTTCCGAAGTTTACGTCAAAGCAGGAAGAGTCGTCGAGTCGAAAAGTAGTCACGGAGTCGGGTGTTCCTTGTTCTCTTCACTACATCCTCGATGCTCTTGGTTGCTCCCACAGTCCCTCGCTCCCTCCTACTCAACTCTGGAGTTAAATCGTTCATCATGCTAACTTCCAAACCTAGACAGATGTGACTGGAGTAGTTAGTAATATTCATCCCGACCGTTTTTGTAGTATTTAGTCAAAAGACCAAACTTCCTGTATTATGAAAGTTGGCTACCATTCATTTTGCATGGCTGGTGTTTGGTAATATAAGAACGATATCATTAGTAAAGCTAAAATCGTGTAATTGTCGTCTATCGGCTTTCACTCCCGTGTTATCCAATTCCAATTTTCGCATAATGTTCTGGAAAATGGCTTTAAATTGATTTAGAGAGATGGTATCGCTCTATTAAATTCATTTCTTCTTGTCAATGTTAATACCATTGTAGAAGTGAGAGGTTCTGGTTGCGAAGTGATTGTATTGCTCACTAAAACAGTAAATAAAGGATAAAGCTCTCGGCGTTGATCAATTGTTGAGAGATGCGCCATGCATTCGACTTCATCAAGCATCGCTGGAGGTGATTGAATGCATATCTGACCTTTACAATGACTTGCGGTGGCCTACCGATGTACCGAGCCAGTGCTACTATCCTCCCAGACAAGTCTGGTACCAATTCGCCGATCCCGGAGGGACGGAAGGCTTGGTGAGTCACGGGCGCTGAGATTGATCCCATGTGTGTGTCTCAGAGCGCCCCCGACCAGTGTCCGCACGTACCCCTTATTGTTCACTAATATTCTTTAATTACTGAGGAAGGCTACCATAACCATTAAAACCGTCCCTGACCGCTTTTGTATCAACTGGGATGCGTTTTTTTAAAATCGATTAATGTAAGATGCAGTGGTTTGTTGTACTCTTGTGATCATGTGAGTTTGCTGTATTGTAATGAATCCTGTTTTAAAAGTTGCTTCCTCTTACAGCAGTCCTTTGTCCAGTAGTTTATTAGTTCGGTTGAGGATAACTCGAGTGAGGAGGAGAAACGCCAAGGAGACTGGGCGATTTTTTCCGAGGTCATGTAGGTCTTACCTTTTGTGCAAAAGCCGAGTCCTATTGATTTCTACTGATTAGTAACCGTGGATCCTAGTTTACTAGATGCTCGGATCTGAGGTAATTTATAGTTCTTCATCGGTGAGATAGGGCGTACGATTTCGAAGGGACAGGTTTTGAGACAGTAAATCCTCATTGATTTGATACCGATGCAGGTGGATATGTATGTTGAATAGATCATATTAGAAACTGTCGACAATTTTCTCCATCACCTTTCTGGAGGCCACAATAGTTCCTTCTGTGCATCGGAATGCCATCATCTTAGACTTGTAATCCGCGAGATTTCTATTGGCGTCTCCAATTTTCTTCCCACCTTCCACACATCAGCTGGTATTGCTGCTCTTTTGTCGTTAAAATCCCTCATGTGAATCAAAGTTGGTGATTGCAGTCATCTCATGTGATTGGACGTTGCCGTATCAGATTTACCTTTCTGGACAGGCGTCTGTCGGCGAGCCTCAAACTCATGACTTTTCAACACTGTGGTGAATGGGTTATATAAGCCATTTGAATTCCTCGCCGATGTTGTCAATAATAGGACCTTTCGCAAAGTCGGCTGAAGCTACTGGCAAGTCTCTGTGTACGGTGGTTTTGGAATTCTGTCCTTGAATTTTAGGGCCTTCACTATTCTTTGCAAAAAGTAGGATCCTGCGTTAAGAAGACGATGATCCGATCTCGTGTGAATTTCCGAACAACAGCGCCAAAAGCTTTGATATCGAAATTAGTCATGCATCAGTAATTTTGCATACGACTTAACTAACACGAGTGTGCTATAAAAAACTTTTGTTCGGCTAATTTTCGACGTCTACGTCTTCTTCAGAGCAGCGTTGATCCGAGTTGATGGTCCACAGCTCGTCGTTCTCGCACCAGGTCGAATGCAGTATAAGAAGAACGCTTGAGTGAGGAACTTCAGTCGGCGATGCTCTTTTGTATAGGACGGGTACTGGTCGATTCCCTCCATCCAATATGATCTGCTTTTTGCTGGACAATACATCCTGTAGTAGTAGGTGATTTATTCACTGGCACGTAACATGGCAGTATCTTAAAAAACCACTTTCATTAAACCGCGCTAACCGTAATGAATAGTTATCTATACGATTGAGCTAACGTGGAGTTAGTGTTAAAGAAAATCTTTTTCTCGGCTAAAGTTTCACCGCTTTCGCTTTCATCAAAGGCGCGTTGATCCGAGTCGATGGCCGCGTGATGCTCGTTCGTTATGGCGGTGTGGGTGTTTTTAGAATATTAACCATGCTTCAATTTTTGAGAACCAACGATCCGATATAGGGTATGAGTGTTGAGTACTGTAAATCGAAAACTCTTCTTTCTGGAAGTTTTGGATTCCAATTCTCGATCAAATTTTTGTGTTACATAATGTTACATAATTCATGCGCGCAATCACTCCACCATGGGCAACGGCTCACCGGCGTGAATGCGATGCTGCAAGAAGACGACGAAACGAATGGAAGTACTGCTAAGAACCTTAAAACATATAGGGACAGACCACTGAAGTATCCACTATTCTTTTAGGTCCAAGATATCGGAGTTCTAGAGTCTGATCACTGGATGGTGGGTCATTTAGACCAAGTGCAGGGTTGATTTAACTGGGAGTTGTAGTGGTATTGATCTAATATTTCTACTCATGAAGAGAAAATAGATAAAATACTATTTAAAATCCGTAGTAGCGAAGAAATAATCTGCATTAAGAACGCGGTGAGGAAGAGGGGATATCTTCCTTCGTTGTAAACGCACAAGAACTGAATTCAGAATCGTGTTTTCCACGTATCAACATGGACTTCTGCACCATACTCATTCTATTCCTCTTCCAGCTTTTTGTTATCCTTTATTTTTTGCCCTTGTTCTTATTGTGGTTCTGAAAAGATTTCTACGAACGTGAGTCTGTTAAGATCACAAGTTCTATATAAACCTTGATACTGGAGTAATCTATATAGACTGATTTCTTCTGGACGTACCTTCTAGTGCGTCATTTTGAATTCTCTTCATAGTACACAACTTGCAGACTGAAACATCTCGTTAAGATTCTCTTTGTTTTAGGAAGGAAGATTTGTAAAGGCTTCGAACGAACTCTACGGTTGAGAATATGAGGAATATGAGGTTGAGAATACTGTAATGACATACAGAAACAATGCATACTACCGTATCACAGGGAAGAGCACAGAGTTCGCACACGTCAGCTTGTCTGACAACTCGTATACGTTAGAACAACCGCGTTTAACCGTTTGTTGTGCGTTTCCATCTTCTATCCGATTATATTCTACTTTTCTATCTATGGTAAAAAAAAAAGATAAAGGTCTCGGCGTTGATCAATCTCTGAGGGATGAGCCATGCATTCGACTTCATTAAGCATCGTTGGAGGTGATTGAACGCATATCTGGCCTTTACAATAACTTGCGGTGGCCTATCGATATATCGAGCTAGTGCTGCTATCCTCAAAGACAAGTCTGGTACCAATTTTCCGACCCTGGAGGGATGGAAGGCTTGGTGGGCTATGGGAACGGAATCGTTTGTGTGTGTTACAGGGCGCCTCCGACCACTGCGCCACACGCGCGCTTACACCTATCTATGGTAGGTACTTGGCTGTTTTAAGAGCCTTTTTAAATTTCTCACTACGTTAGTGATTGATTATCAGGATCTCATAACAAAACCGCCGGTACATCACTAGGAAAGGACTTTTTATGTAATAAAATCGTAGGATTCAAATGAAGATACTTTTATTAACAATGGAAAAGTTATTACATCTAGCAATCAGTCCTTTAATTTTTATTAATTACTACCAAGGCCTAAGTAATAAACGTCCTTATTACATGAGATCGATGAAATGTGAGCTGTTAAATAACCACCATTTATAGAGAATTGGGACCGGTGAG